AGGATGGGATGGATGGAAGAATAGATATATGGGGTGGATGGATGGATGGATGGATGGATGGATGGATGGATGGATGGACGGGAAGGATGGATGCATGGAAGAATTGAAGGATGGATGGATGGATGGATGGATGGATGGATGGGGTGGATGGATGGATGGATGGGGTGGATGGATGCATGGAAGAATTGATGGATGGACGGGGTGGATGGATGGGGGAGGATGGAAGGATAAATGGAAATATGGAGAGACTAAACAAGAGTGAAGGACCACTGTGGCTTGCTGGATTTACCTGTAAACCAGATGTGGGACAAGATTTACACAGTACACATAAACAATGCATTAGGACAGATACAGCGCACATAAATAAATGCATTACAATTTACATAGAAGGCATATAAACATTTGTTTTGTTTTAGTAGAAGTTTTACGGCGCTCGCTACTGCATAAGGTCATATGAGCGCCAGAAGATTAGAGGTGTTACAAGAGAGTAACAAACATAAAAAAGAAGTAGGGGAGATAAGGACGATAGATGTTTGACAGGAAAGAAGAAGCAAAACACACCACAGCACCTGCCAACAACCCACAAATGCATTATAATTTACACAAAACCCATAAACATTGCATAAGGACAAAAACACATTACACATAAAAAAAAAAGGATAGGGGACACACACAGAACACATGATAAACGCGCTACAATTTACATTATACACCAAGACAACTCATTAGGAGGATTTACCTGGCACACATAAACAACGCAAAAGGTCATACACAGTATGCATAAACGACGCATTACGATGAACGTTTGGGCACACAAACCACACATTATGATTACCACACACACTGGACCAACCACCTACACTAGTGGTGCCGGCCGGCCCATACGTTGGAACTGTCTATGAACAAAACAAAGCATCCAAAACTTCTCTCACCTCCACCACATTATTACTGTGAATAATAAATGTTGACATCAGCATACACTCTGCATGCACACAAAGCAGAATTCTAACAGAACACTTTTCTCTGTGGAGACAAGCACTCAGTACCCACCAGTCATAAGATAGGGGCATTGTGAATTATACACATTTCAGCAAAGAAAATGTATCAAAATATATACAATTTATCTCTTTAATTTAAAAAAACAAAAAAACTTTCTCTATACATAAACAGAAAAGGGAGAAAGAGAATTGAACGCTCCCACATGTACGGATTAGATTGCAACTCACAACACCGGAGCAAAATTAATATGTCCGTAGCGAATTGTAATACGCCAGCCCCCACATTATATATTATATTAGTTTATTTTAGTAGACGTTTTACGGCGCTCGCAACTGCATAAGGTCATATGAGCGCCAGAAGATTAGAGCTGTTACAAGAGAGTAACAAACATAAAAAAGAAGAAGGGGAGATAAGGACGATAGATGTTTGACAGGAAAGAAGAAGCAAACCACACCAGAGCACCCGCCAACCACCCACATATATTATATGTACTTTTACCCAGGATATGGGAGACAAAATAATAAAATATCTCGCGGATCAACAATTAAATGTAATAAGGAAAGAAACTGGAGTACAAAAATAAACACCGACATATTTGTCCAGACTATCAATACTTTATATCAACTCAGTCAGCAGGCTTTCGCAGGAAAAGAAACGGCAGTATAAAAATGAACAAAGACATTCTTCTAGATCACCAATAAAAAAAGACATTTACCGAGTTAATCAGTAAACATTATCAGGAAAAGAAACTAGGCCTATACAGTATAAAAATAAACACCAACATCTTTGCCACACCTTCAATACTTTATGTCAACTCAATCAGTAGACATTAGCAGGAAAGAAGCTACAGTAAAAGAAATTACAGTACAAAAATGGTCGCTTTTAAGCACAAGGGTGCTATCCTGAAAAATGCTGTTTTGAGAAAATCTAAGGTAAAGTTTTTTCCCTTTGTTCAGTTTCTTTAAAAGACAAGGAGAGTTTTCTCTACAACCAAACAATTAATCACACCAATGAAACCAAACTTCTCCTATAGGTAGGGCAACGCCCACTTTTGCTGTAGGTCAGGATTTCTGGAAACCTCCTGTGTTAGCCCGCTAGTCCTTAAAAGCGACCAAATTAATACTGACATTTTTTTTCAGACAATCAATACTTTCCATCAAGTCAATCAGTGGACACATTAGAAGACACCCCCCAACTGACCAGATTTTTCTCTCCTCAAAGCAAACGACTAGAGCTTTTCCCCACATATATGAACACATCCAAAGCATTAACAAATGCATACACACAGAAGCACACACATACACATGTAAACAAGCACGCGCTTACACACACACTCACAAACATACAGAGGCAAACACACACACACACACAAACACAAGCAAACACAGACACACACATACACAAACACACTCGCACGCACCCACACACACAAGCAAACATACACACG